TTATTTTCTTAAATAAATGTGGTTGTACTGGCTTGAGAAGTAACTCACCAGAAACATATGTTCGCCTACAATCTGTGTTCTGATTGAGACAAATGTGATTTCGCTGAGTAGTAGTCGGTGCTTGATACACACGCGTTGTTTATGTTCAGCGTAAAACGAGTTAGTTAGAAAGGGCTTGCTTGGGTTCATTGAATCCCTCCCGAACGTGATTCTGAGGGGTTGGTGGCATGCTTTGAACATCAACTTTCTGACACTTCCTGGTCAGTTTCGTGCACGTATTAAATATTCGGCAACTGTCTCAGATGTGAAAAAGATCAGTACCATCGGTGTGGCCTAGTAGCTCGGTTGGCAGAGCGTGTGCTGTACAAACGCGCAGGCGGTGTCTGTGCGTGGGTTCGAATCCCATCGAGTCCACTGAACATGAAACTTGAATCTGCCAAATAACCATTTGTCTCACATATCTGTGTCATGCCAGCGCTTGTACACACACCGTCCTAATTCCGCTCGTACTCGTTTCCCCTTACTTAATTTTACTTTATTGCTCCTTAGAAAGGATCAGCCTGCTCCAGACATGATCACGAAGTTCCTTGGGAGTTTGATATGAGAGGCGTTCCCAGCGTCACTCGGCTTTTTATTTTGAAGGCCCACATCTAGCTTTTGCACAACCAGTTGCGAACTGCAAGGTAGCAGGAAGACCAGTCACATCGTCTTTTGTCACAACACCGTCATCGGGCTTATGCGGCTTTCAAACAGGAGTCAGGTGACCAGCCTGAAACCCACCACACCCTGGTAGTTCCGCCGCTATTTGTTCGCGACTGTTTATTTGTTGTGGTATGCCACAACTTATTCACAGCTAACCTTCTTCGGTGAAACTATTCCCCTCAATCCACAACCCGGGGACGCACCGGATAGCATTCAGCTATGCCGGTATCCAAGTGACCAAACAATGAAAAACGGAAATAGATGGTTACTGGTTGTTTTCATCCAACCTTGAACTAAGTTTGAACTTCGTTCGTGATGAATTTGACCATAATTGTGTACAGAATCGTGCAACAGATCACGGTTATTTGTCGTTACTTGTCGTTCACAAGTGTACGGGATAGAAATGTCACCATCAGAAGATGTCTCGTCCGAGTTGTTCGTCAGAGAATAGACGTAATTCATTTAGGCAAAATAATCTATTTGTGCTTTCTGACAGGAATCATGCGCCCCACTTCTCGGTA